CCACCGCCCCGGCCACCAGGAGGCCCGAGGGCACCTACGCAGGGACTTTGTGAGCGGGGCCTGCGGGCCACTGGAGGGACGAGTGCTAAGCTGCTTGCATGCGTTACTAATACAAACAGATGTGATCAAGCCACTTACCTACTGAACTGCTACTGCTGCCTGACAAAAATGTGATTTTTATTCTGCCTGTATTTAAATGGATGAAGGAAAATGCACTCACTATACTGTAAACAGCTAGGCCGCTGGCCACGCGCTGGGAGCACGGCCCAGGGCTCCTTTGTGACACCGCAAGGGCAGCTTCCCCTCCTTTCCCTGGAGGGGTGGGAGGCCTCCATCCCTGGTGCCCGGCCCTGCCCGGCCTGGCCCACACTTCTTGCTCCTCCTACCCCACGAGAGGAAGAGGACAGCGGCTGGGAGTGGGGTAACACTCCGTTTCTTACCGTGGGGCAGCGCAGGGTCTCTAGGGCCAAACCCGTCTTGTTTTCCTTCTTCCTTGAGATGCCGTCCGTGTGGGTGTGTGCACGTGAGTGTGCGTGTGCAGGTGAGAGCGTGTGCGCACGAGTGCGTGTGAGCATGGACCAGTGATGGTATCGCGACGGCTTTGCTGGTCACCAGGGGTGGAGGAAGGACACCGTGTTCTCCCCCCTCACCCCGCACCCTTGTCTTCACTCTGCCCCGCCCGCTCTGCGCTGTGGCCCCCCAACCCGCCGGAGGCCCAGCAGCCCCCGCCCACCTGCCCATGGGCGTCCCCAGCCGGGCCTCCTCGGGTCCTGCACAGCTGCAGCCACCCTCTGACGCCCCAGCCACTCTGGGATTTTGCTTGTTTGGTGTTTTCGTTTAGTTCAGATCTATTTCATATATGGTTTGGAAACTTTTAGACCCAACAGAGCAAAAAAATGGGGAGGGGCAGGTGTCCCTGTCCCCAGCCTACCACAGATCAGGGGTGGGTCAGACCTGTGCCCAGTCCTTGGGCCAGGGTCTGCTCACCTCCCGCTGGAGGCAGAGGGGTTCCAGGCTGAGTTCAGGGGCCCATTGTGCCACCTCTGCAGTGCCCAGGGCTACAGAGGCTGGCAGCAGGTGCAGGCCCGGGCTGGGCAGTCAGGGGTGGCGTGGGGTGGGGGTAGGCCTGGGGCTGCCAGCCGGCGTGAAGCTGGAGTGCTTACTGTGAATTGGAAGCTTGGTTTCCAAGCAGCGGGGCACACATGATGGGATGTACTCCCCGCCACCTACACAGGGCTTTCTTCCCTGCCTGGAGAGCCCAGCAGCTCCCAGTGTGGCCAGGGGCCCCATTCCAGGACTTGATGGTCTGCAGTTTCCTGTTCCTCCTGAGCTAGCCCCTGGCACCCCATCCTGTGTACACACAGCCGAGCAGGCTCCCCAGCCAGAGGGCTGGGGTGTGGTTTAGACCTCCCCACGGCTCCCCTTTTCTGCAGGGAGTGGCTTCTGGGGTGTGGTTTAGACCTCCCCACAGCTCCCCTTCCCAGTAGGGAGGCCTCGGGGGTCTGTGCCTGCTCCCCAGAAAGCTCTGCTGGCTTTGAAGGGGGGTAGGGGCCATGGACTAGAAACCTTGGGGGCCCAAGCCTGGGGAGACCCCTGTATTCCCGGGCAGCAGGCGGTACGGAGGCTCTTGGTTCCCACCCGGGCCTGGTGCCCCCTGCCCAGAGCTGCTCCCTCTGGCCCTCCACCCCATCTTGGGCCCGGCCAGGTTGTAGTCCCCGGGCCTCTGAGGGCCTGGACCAAGCCTCGTGGTGCTGGAGGGGCCTCGGGTGGTGGAGACGGCGAGTGAGGGTTAGCCACACCCCTGGCCCGCTGGAGTTTTCCTTCATCTGCCCCACACCCCCAAATGTGCACTTTAATTTGACGAACCCTGGGGACCTTTGAGAGGCAGGAGGGCTCTGTCCCCACCACCACTCCCCGGCGGGCACGGCCCCCACCCTGGGCCAGCACAGGAGGGCACCGCCGGCCACTGGAGGAGGAGGTGGCCGCACAGAACGCCTGGCCACTGCTGGGGCTAGCACAATGTCCCGCCACCCCGTCCCTTAATCGTTTATAATCGCCGTCTGTTTTGTTGTTCTGGGTAAGGAAGGCAAGAGCTATAGGTAAAACTTAAATAATAATACTTCAATGTGAATGGGTTCTGAGCTCTCCCTGTGCCCCAGGCGGGCCAGGCCGAGCGTTTTGCACTAATGTGTCCCGCGGTGGACGGGGTGGGGAGCGTTCGCAGACCTGCGTGGCCGATGATTGTACCTGCCAGGCGCTCCCTCCCCACCTGAATGTACCGCGGGCGGGCGGCGGGCAGGCAGCGGGCCTGGGCTCGGAGGGGCCTTCCAGAGTGCCTTAGCATCTTTTGATCATTTTTCCCACGGGAAACCAATTAAGAACCCCGGACCCTCCCCTCCTTTGTTTACAAGATGACTAATTCCAGAATGGGGGCGTCTTGTCCCGCCGGTGTGACCCGACTCACCCAGACCCTGTAGGCGAGAGGCGAGCCACTCAGTATTTATGGGATGTCTGCACCCCTATCCTAAGCTTGACTACTAGCAATACGCATATACTATATAGAGTCTATTATAGAGCTAAGTTATATCGGCGCCTTTCCGGGAGGACAGTCGGACTGACCACGTTGGAGCTGCTGAGGCGGGTGCCGGCCTGGGGTCCAGCCGCCGACCCGCCCTCCCCTCTGTCCCCTACGCTCCGAGAGGGGGCGGCCCAGGAGGCAGCTGGGACAAGTGCAAAAGGTCCAGAGGAAGGGACCAGAGACAGGACAGATACTGTGAGCTCGGTGGGGCCGCCCACCTGGCCGGCGCACCTCGGTACTTGAATTCTGTTCTTGTTTCCTGCTCCGGGTCCACACACCCGTGTTCTCTGTGGTTGCTTCAGTTTGCATCTTCTTCGGTGTCTTCCTTTGCCCCCTGAATGTGGACACTGCGTGAGCTGGCCCGTGGCCCGTGTCGGGGGCCGCTGGACACGTGGCTGGGAAGGCTGTGTGGGCCTCCTCCGTCTGGCGGGCTCACTGCAGCATCTGTGTTTAAGCTGGTGGACAGGGGTCGAGGTGCCTGGAGCGGCTTTTGGGGCTGGGCTATCCCCTCGAGGGGGCCTTGGGGTGCCTGGTGTTGCCCACGCAGCAGCTGGCACCGCTGAGCCCTGCCCTGCGTGTTCTGTGGAGGTCCCCTCCGCTGGGTTCTTTGCGCGTCTCTGTAGGCACGGGCTGCTGGACTCAGAGACGCCTGTCTGCTGTGCCGGGCCTGGTTGGAGCGCAGCTGTCTCAGCTTCGACTGCCGTTTCAGGATGTGCTGCTGCAGTCCCTGCCGTCACGTGCGGCCGGCTCTGCGGGGTCCCTGCACAAGCGTGCGGGATCGGTACAGATGTTTCTCAGATGGCAAAGGTGTTCTGCTTTCGTTTGTTTGTTTATTTTGTTTTGTTGAAAAATGAAAAGAAATGGGAAATGATGCAGAATCTAAAGCTTTCAGATTGGACAACTTGCCTGTGTTCTGATCAGTTGCCTCCATTGTTAGCGTTTTGCACATGATTGTGATTTTTATGTCAAAAGAAGCCAAAACTTGCAATACTATTTTTAGCAGACAAAAAAAAAAAGAAACCAGAGCTAAGTATAAAATGTATAAATATTTTTGACTTGAACATTCAGATGGCACTGGGTGCAAATAGAACATTCATCCTTCCGACAGAATGTTTGGAGAAGAGACTTAAAAAGGAGATGGTTATTTTACAGGATCTGTCTAGGGGTTAGACTAGTACTGTATGTAACTCACAGCTGTTAAAAAATAAGTCAATAAAGGAAATTGTTCCTGTGCTATAAAGGAGGGCTTCACAGAACCACTGACTTAGATTCAGCCACGGAAGATGCTGGCTTTTCGTTTTCCTTTAAGGAGGAGGAAGCTTTTGTTTTGTCTTTCCTGCGTCCTTCCTCACTCCCTTTCTGTGCTGTTTTCCATAGTGACGAGACTGTTAACTTTGTAGCCATGGCTGACAACATTGTATCAATAACTAAACAACCACCAGGTGCGCAAGCGACCAGGGGAAGGTGAAA